ACTTTTGGTCCCTCAGTATGCTTACTTTATTCCTCCTTCCTCTTTATCTCCTCTGTCCCCGTTCCCCCACATAGGCCAGACCCTGAGTTCTGTCTTTTCTGTTTGTACTCCTTCCTTCTCTCCTTGGCCAACGTACCAGCCTTATCACTTTAAGTGTGGGATAAAGTCCGATGTCTCTCCACTCTGTCTTTACCAGAATTCTCTCTGAAGCTCTCCTTTTTTAACACTCCAATTGCCTCCTCAGTATTCCACTTGAATGTTAAATAATATTTCAGGCTCATCAGAGTCATGGCCGCTTTAACAAAGACCTTTTAGATGTATTCATTTTACTTTATATGGATGTTTTACCTGCATGTGTGTGTCTATACAATGTGCCTGACTGTTGAAGTCCATGGAAATGAATGTCTGCAAGCCACCACGCGGCTGCTGGGAAGTGAGCCCACTTCCTCTTCCACAAGCAGCAAGCGTTCTCAACTACAGAGCGACCTCCCCACTTCCCAGTCAGAGCTTTAACTTCATCTCAAACACCTCACCTGCAGCCTCCTTCTGTCATTTGAAGGAATCATTGTCTTTTCAGTTGCTAAAACCAAAGGTGCTGGGGCCACATGTGATCCTTAATGTGAGTTTTATAACTAAGTCCAATTTCTGCTGTAGCTCCCCTGAACAGTTAACCACAGTGCAGACATTTCTTGCTCCCCTACTGCCCCACCCCCACCCCCTGCCACCGGAGAGCAGCCCATCTTCGTTAGAATGCCTCGGTGTCTTGGCTGCATTTCTGCATCATTTAACTGGTTCTGCTGCTACCCTTGCCCATCTACTTCAAGTGACTTTAACAAAACACAAGTCAAAAAGCCTGGAGATGCGGTGCGCCAGCCCACAGCAGTCCTCATCTCAGTTAGGGTGATGGCCACAGGTGGTCACAATGCATGGCGCCCTCCATGAGCTGACTCCTCTCCATTTGCCCCTTCTCTTGCTGTCTCTAGTGTCCTGTTAACGTCCTCCTTTGCCTTTGGGTCTTCGCAGCCTCTATCCCTTCTCTCTCCTCCACAGCATTCTGCCTCATGCCCATGTTTCCTTGCATCTTTGCTACCTCATGTCTCTGTTTAAAGTTGTAGCCATCTGTGGTCTGGAATCCCCTCCCGGCCTTCCTAACTCTGCTCTGCTAACCACTGCCTTGTCTTTTACCTGTGCGACTGACTGCTCCTCTTTCTCCGGCCCTTGCTTTCTATAAAGGCAGGGAGGGATCTCTGTTTTGCACACGATTTTCCCTGGAGCTCAGTTGAAAGATCCCAGAGGAGTGACCCAAAGGTGTGACGAGTGAATATCTTAAAAGCCTAGGAGATCTTAAGAGCAGATTTTGCTTAGTGGGAGAGCGGTTGCAGGCCTGCAGAGCAACAACTCGGGAAGCATCAGGGAGACATTCATCAGAAGACCTGTGTCTTCTGCTGCTCTACCCCCAGTCCAACCCATACATGTCCCATAAACCCTTAAGCCTGAACATGAATGTCCATTCTGCTTTCGTTTCCTCTATGTATTTATCTAACTTCCCCTTCTACGGGGGAAATTTTCTAATCTAGATATTTCCTCCTTGCGGAATTTACTGATGGAAACTTTAAAACTGTTGACCCTTTCTTTTTTGGAGGAATAAACTCGTTCTGGCTATCCTTAGCTTTCACGGTTTCCTCTTTTCCTGCATGTGACAATTAGCTTCCCAATATCCAAGCATTGATTTTCCAGGTAATGTAAAACACCCAAGCCCCTTTTATCTTTTCCATTTTTCTTCTAAGTGGATTCTTTTTTAATGAAGTTGTCAGATCACGAGTCACCAGTTAAAAGGGATTCCTAATATGGTGGGAATTGAAATGAAGCAAAACTTATTACCGTCAGTCAACTTTGTAAATAATTGATAGCAACAGTATTACCTCTAAGAATCCAAGCCCTTTGCCTTCTCTGTGATTCCTCCCAAAGCTGGCATGTTGCGCAGCATCCCATTCTACACCACTGCTTTTGAAATGCCCTCTTCCTCCTACAGCCGGTTTAAGAGCCTTCTCCTGGTGGATTCTGGGCATGAGGGTTTTTTTTTTGTTTTGTTTTTGTTTTTGTTTTTGTTTTTATTTTTGTCTTTGTTTTTTTTTTTTTTTTTAGAGAGAGTTAACACAGCAGACTCAGATTTGCCTTGTTTTAGAAAGATATGCTACCACGGCTGGCCTGTGACTTACAAACAAGCAAGAAGCAAGAAGCATTTTCTCTACAACTGTTCACTGCAGTGGGAGTGGCCTAGTGGATAAAAATGTTTTGCTGGGTGAGACCTTAGCAACCATGTGATTGATGTGGATGCTGGGTGAGACCTTAGCAACCATGTGATTAGTGTGAATGCTTGCTTTCTTTCTAGGTTTCTGGCAGGCCCAAGGAACCGGCGAGACAGCTCCTCTGCTCCCTGTGGAAACCTTATAGTTTCTCCAGCCTCTGGTCAGCATTCGCTGGGGGCTGCCTGAGATGTCCACTGCAATTTCACAGCCATGCTCTCTGCGGGGAAGCCTTGCCTAGACAGTGCCACCTGCTGGCTGTCCCTTCCTCTTCTTTCCCTTATTGAATCCCAGTCTCTCATGTTACTTATTGTAATGGGAGCTCTGTGAGTCCTTTCACTGAGTCATTAGACACACGGGTGGTCTGGAGGCCCTGAAGCAGTGGACGGAGTATCAGATACCTTTCCTTTCCTTAACGAAATGACGACTGGGCTCCAAGCCTTGCCAATTTTCAGAAGTCAGGTTTGAGCCATTTGTGAAGATTTCATACTAAAACTACGCCATACTCAGAGACTTTGCTGAAGCTGGTGTCTAGGACAGAGCTATCTATGTAGAAAACTTGAGAAGTGTTAGGATTGTGGGTTCAGTGTGGAGACACAGGCCTGCTATCTCAGGACTTAAGAGGCAGAGGCAGCCGTACCTTCATAAGATCAAAGCCACCCTGGGCTACGTAGTGAGTTCTAGGTCAGCCAGAGATGTACAGTGAGGGTTTGTACAGACAAAACAAAACAAAAAAGTAAAAAGTACAATAAAAATAAATACATGAAAAAGAAATTCTGAGATCTAAATTCAATGGGTTAAATTTGCCAGAGGGTAAAAAAAATAGGAATCAGTAATATGATTTTATGCATGTAGAAAGAAGGAATTTATATGGAAATTAAGTGTTTAAGGGAACATATAGTTATTTAATTTAGTATAATATTTATTTAGCCTTAATATAATAGTAAGCAAATGTCTTACACTTTGATTTGGTAGCAGAATCTCCCAGGGTGTTAGAGTCTTCAAGCAAACATCTACAGACTCAAATGCCTGTAAGAGTGTAATAGTATCTGGACACCCAGAGCAGCCTATGAAGAAGACAAGGCTCACCACGCTGCTCATACACCCTTAGTTACTGACTCTAAACTCCTCTGGAAGCATTACGAAGTGAAAAATAGTCAGGGGTACCCATAATAAGTGGGTTTTCAGTATATTGAATCTTCAAGCACTTAAGGAAGATTTCAACATGATTTTGTAATTAACAAATTCTACTATGTGGCTCATGGACAAAGGACCAACCCTATGGTGTGTGAGGGAGGGAACGAAGGTGAAATCAAATTACACTCTTATAGTAGAATATCACTGTACTGACTAGTTGTGTGTCATCTTGGCACAAGATAGACTCATTACAGAAGAGGGAGGTTAATTGAGGAAATGCCTCCGTAAGATCCAGCTGCAGGTATTTTCTGAATTAGCGATCAATGAGGGAGGATCTGATGTAGGCGGTACCATCCCTGGGATGATGGTCCTGGTTCCTATAAGAGAGCAGACTGAACAAGCCATGAGGAGCCAGCTGGTAAGCTTGCCCTCCATGGCCTCTGCATCAGCTCCTGCCTCCGGGTTCCTGCCTTGTGTGAGTTCTCACTGCATTGAATGATGGACTGTCATGTGGAACTCTGAGTGAAATAAACCCTAGCAGGATAGTGGAGTATGGCTGTGATGGTCCTGGACGTGTTGTTTTGAAGGGGATTGTGAAGGACCCTGCAACTTTGGGCTAAGGGACTCATTGAGTGTTTTGTAGGGTCTTGGAAGGAAAGAACGCGGAGAGCAGTGCGGAAGATGGAGGCCTGACTTGTGAGGTTTCAGAGGGAAGCAAAGACTCTACTGGACCTTTTGTGCAAGGAATCTGTAGTTCTGGTTAGCTGGAGCTGAAGAATCTGCTGTGTTTAATAAGACACCAGAACTACCAAAGTGAAACCTCTGCTTTGCTGGGATACTTGACGCTGGTCAGCTGCCGCTGAGAAATTTGCAGTGATTAAGAAGAGACCAGCACCACTGAGGTTTCTGGAAAGTGTTTCCCGAGAGTCAGCACACAGCAACTGTGCTCCAGATGTGGCCAAGGTTGTGTCTTGTGTTGGCAGCTGAACGTGATAGTGTAAGAGCCACGCAGATGGTGCCCGTTTTGGGAGGTGTGAAGGGGTCACAGAGATTAACTGATGCCTGGCACCGCATGACAAGGATGGAGTCTCTGAAGCCAGCTCAGGAAAGGCCACTGCTAGGCCAGTTACAGATGTGCCAGTGTCAGGAGATGACTCCCAAGGCAGCAGCAGCAGTAGAGGCAGCTGGAGCATAGAAGACAAGTTTTGTGTTCTGCGGAGCTGGAGAAGTGACCCAAGCCCCTTGGCCCAGAGATCACGAGTGAATCACAGACAATTGGACACTGACTTATTTATACTGTCAGAGTTTGGTTTTGCTTTGTTCAGATTGTGACGGTACCCCGGTTCTTCCCTCTTGAAGTAAGAAAGCATGCAACTTAATTTTGACTTTTACAGAAGCCCACGGTTGAGAGATTTCGAACTTTTAAAAGAGCCCCCCCCCTTCTCCCTGCCAACTGCCCACTAACGTACCACAGAACTCTTAGCACCCAGTCATGAATCATTTGGAAATCCCTGGAGAGACGTTGGTGATGAAATTGTTAGATGATCCTTTACTTACTTCAGGTCAAGGGGAGGCTTAATGTTTCTGGGAGGTAGGCTTGGGACTGGCGGCTGTGTTGGGTGAGACGCTGGCAGTGGTGGCTGGCTGCCTGGATGGGACGCTGGAGGTGCTGGAGGTGCTGGCAGGGCAGTTGTTGAGTAAGGTGTCTGGCTTTTGCTGGTACCTAAGAAGCAAAGGATGGTAAATTAAGACAAATTGTCAAAATATAAGAACTTGCCATTCCAAATATGCAGGCATAATTGGGTAGAACATTAGACATATAGCCCTTGTTGAGTTAAATGCTTTAAAGTGTCCAATATTTTATGTATATTACCTTTTCTGAGCTTTTTATAAACTTTAGTTTTAACACTCTTGACGTTGTGAACAATTCTACATCAACTTTGTACCACATTCTTCATGAATTTAGAAATACACTTTATTTTTTCCATTGGATCTGTATTTTGCGCCATTGGAGAAGTGGTATTCATATCTATTCCACAGGCAACACACTTGTTTTTGACAAGCTCTTTGAACTTTTAACAAATTATATTTCGTATGGGCTACGGTTTTGAAACGTGGAAGCCTTTTAAATCATCCCATAAATAAATCCCATAAATAAATACACATTGTTAAAACTATAAAATGATATTAAGAACATTAAAGTATGAATTTCCTATTTTCCCACCACCTAGCAATGCGTACTAAATTTTGTGTATTTCTGAGCATTTTGATGTAAATATACGACTCCTCTCAGTTCCAGTATATTGTTTCTGCTCAGTTCTTCTACTATGACCCTGTTGCCTTTTATTTTATTTTGACTTTTGAGACAGGATCTCCTTGTGTCAATGAGGCTGACCTGGGACTCATGGAGATTTGCTTGTCTCTGATTCCCAGCAGCCCAAGTGCTAGGATTAAAGGCATGTGCTAACACATTCAGATCTCTGATGCTTTAAAATTCTGCAACATCACACTCGTTCTGGGATTTCTCTTTGCCAGCAAGAGGACGCTGATATTTTAAGAGAATGTTCTGTGGGGAAGACCGTGGCACTGGCGTGCATGGTGCTAAATCCTGGCTTGGAACAGTTATTTCCTGGTTACATTTATAAAATGTAATGATGGTGCCACCTTATAGGGTTCTGTGGATGTTATGGCCCAACAGTTGTAAAACACTTAGGATAGTGTCCTGTGGTGAGTAAGTTCAACGTTTTATTTTTCATTTGATAAGTCTTTGTAGAATGCCTACAATATGCCAAGTTCTGTTCTACATTGTAGCTTGAGGGCTGGCTTGTTGGGGTTTCTGTCCCACCTAGTACCCCAACAAGCCAGCAAGTCCCAAGGAAAATCACACGGAGTCTACATTAGGTTATAAACTGATTGGCCCATTAGGTCAGGCTTCTTGTTAACTCTTATAACTTATGTTACCCCATTATCATTATCTATGTTAGCACATGGCTCCGTACCTTTCTCAGCTGGGCAAGTTACATGCTGCCTCTTCGGTGGTCTGTGCAGGAGTGGCTAGGGAGTTTCCTGCTTCCCAGAATACTCTCAGTCTCTTTGCTCCACCCCTATTTCCTGTCTAGCTTTCCCGCCTATACTGCCTGCCTGGCCAATCAGTGTTTTATTAAAATATGATTGACAGAATACATACAATACTCCCACACTACATACTAGGAACACAGAAGAGATACATCGGACAACCATTTCTGAAGAAATATATAATAAATACATTTAATCTATATAAACTGCCATATATATTGTGATATGCACAGTGAAAGGTGGGAATACTGGGTAACTGGGTGTGACTGGCATTCCCTCTAACCCTACATGTAATGCTCTAACCTAGGTAGACTGGAATTGAACATGTTTTTTTTTTTTATTCCCACAGATATTGAAAGCACCAGGCTTCATTCATAATTTTCTTGACTCTTTATTTTGAAAAAATGATATATGAAATTCAGGCTTAAGTGTGCCACTTCTCCGGTTATCATATTACGGCTAGCATCGCATCAAGGAAAAATTTTTAGTACTTAATCAAATATTTATTGTTATTTTCTTAGTCAGATATTTATAGTTATTTCCTAATCCACCAAAACACTCATTCTCTTCATTCATAAATAAATGAAGTTCTCACAGATACCTTTATTACCTAGTTCTCCATTTACTTTCTGGCTTGATATTTTATTCTTTAAGTTGTTGGTTCCACCTAGTTTCATTCAACATAGCGTTTGTGTCTCTCATCTTCCTTGCTTTGTGATGACTTTTTTTGAGAGGGAAAGAGAATGGCATCTTGAAAAATGTGTTAATTTTACATCAATTTAAACACGAGTGCAACATTTCCATGTTTATAGTTATATTTCTTTTAAAATGCTTCATCTAGTCAATTCTTCATCTTTGCTTTACATAACATTTGCTTGTTCTCATCAGTTTATACAATGTCTTTATTAGGAATATTATTCTAGAGAGATGGCTCAGTGGTTAATAGCGTGTACTGCTCTTGTAGAAGACTTGAGTCTAGCTCCCAGCACCCACCTTAGGGAAACTCACAGCTAACTGCATCTGCAGTTCCAGGGATTCTAACAGACTCTTTTAAACTATGTTGCCATATTAGATTATTCACACTTGCATTCACACACACACACACACACACACACACACACACACACACACTTAAAAGTAAAATTAAAAACATTAAAAAAGTAGTAATCTTTTTGTTTCTCCCATGGACAGGACTGAATATAATTTTGCTAATTTAGCTCTTGCTTCTGTCTTGCTTCCTATTTTTAAAAATATCTGAAACCTGACAACAAAAGATATCTGAACAACCTCTGACAAGAACACAGCCTTCTATCAGTTTGAAAGTATGTAAGAGACTGACTCAAGGGGCTGGAGAGATGGCTCAGAGGTTAAAAGCACTGACTGCTCTTCCAGAGGTCCTGAGTTCCATTCCCAGCAACCACATGGTGGCTCACAACCACCTATAATGAGATCTGGTGCCCTCTTCTGGCCTACAGACAGGATACTGTATAAATAAATTTTTTTTTAAAAGAGACTGACTCAAACTGATCAACACCTAATGAAGTACTTAATCTTAACTCATAATCTTATAGAACCATTGTGGTCCATGCAGCCTTGTGTTGACTGCCCACGACCTTGTTTATTAATTAGAAGTGGCTCTTTCCCCAGAACATAAATATTATATTATTGGGCAGATGAAAAGATGTTTTGCTATTTTAATAAATAAGTGATTGGTAGTCAAAGAGAAAAAGCGGCTGTGAATGAATATTAGTAAACCATTGCCCCCATATAAAAATGTTTATTAACCATCTGTGACTTAAATTTCACAGAAAGATTTCATCAGGCAGGAGTCCTTTTCATATGCAAGTGGACTAAGACCTGGAAGTGAGAAGCTACAGACAAGAGCTGGGCACTATCAGTCTTCTACACTGGAAGCACGGAGAGAGGGCATACCCAGAACCCTCTAGGCCTCCCTGCCTGTACCCAGGCTGGTGGGCCTCTCTGAAGAAGCATCTCTGGTAGACACCCGCTTTTCTACTTGCCTATCCTCCACTTGCTGTTCATTGGTTATAATAGCCAAGGTTGTTTTGGAAGGGCATGCTTGCTTTTCCATTGAATTTGGAGCAGAAGGAGTTGAATCGCAGGTGAAGGCACCTTGTGGGGCAGCAGGATGGGGCTTGTCTGCGAGGCCATCAAGGCCAAAGGAGGGCAGGACTCGGAGACAGAGAGAAATAGACTGGGTTTGAAATGAAGGTGAGCATTGGGAAATTGTTGAAAAGGAACTGTAAGACTCACGGAGACGCTGACTGTTCCCACCCCTCATCAGACGTTAGCATCTTCCAGGGCACTAGGAAGCAGCGGTGAAATAGTTTGCTTTGCAAAATCTGTGGTCACTTTCAAATACTGCAAAAACCCATTTGCATGTATGAAAACTATTCCAAAGCAAAGCAGCTTTGTTTTCCTGGGGGCAAAGAAACAAGTAGACTTGACTTCAGTATATGTGGCTAACTCTGATATCTCAATCTTGGAGGCTTTATAAAACATAACTAATATTTGAGATTCTCAAAAAATGTTTTCTTGTGTTAGGAAGAGTATAGACATTGAAGTATAATGAAATAAAGAGAGATAGATATAAAAATACACCAACAGGTAATGTCAGAGTAAGAATTCAATCCTCAGTTTGAGTCAGAGACCTTATTAGGCATTGTCTTATGTCTTATAACAACCTTAGGATATATGCTATCATTTTGTTTCTATTTAGTGTTAAAAACTGTCCAAGTTCAGAGGTGGTAAGAAATGAAATGGAGATAAACCAACCGCAGTCATTTTCTTGTTGTGTTTCTGCCCTTCCTGCTATGCTCTCCTGCTTCTCACAGGAATGAAACTGAAGTGAGGTTGGTGTCCTGGAGAGTCAACAAATGTGTTCATAAGGTCCCTCACAGCCCACCCCTCTCTCTTCCGTCTGGCTCAGAAGAAGGAACACACAGTTCCTTCTGTGTGTCATGAACTGGAGGCTTCAAGGAGAGGTGAGGAGATGACAGACATCTTAATGATAAACTTAGCAACGGATGGTAAAAGTAGAGGAGAAATGACTGTGTCTATTCTGAAAAAGATTAAGAGTAACTACAGAACATTCTAGAACGTGGAAATAGCTTCAAGCATCTAAGAAACTAGCCACCCTCATTCAAACTTTTTTTTTTTTATCCTTTTAATTTCCAAAGTTCAGAAGAGACCTTGCACAGACCGTCTGCCTCTGCTGTAGCACACCTGGGTGGGTGGGACACTGGGGCCGTTTTGTCAAAAGGAAATGAGTGGAGAGGGTCTTCCATGAGTCTGAGGTGGCTCAGTATCATCTGGCCCTGCCCTTAAGGGTGATCTCAGATGATAGTAATTCAGGGTATCTTATGTGATGAGATTAAAATGTATAAATAGAAAAACAGAATCTTTCTTTCCAAATTGATTATGCTTACTCCTGGCTCTAATGGCAGAAAATTTTAGAATTTTATGACTAGGAATTGAAAGTCTAAGTCTCTGTAAATCCATCCTCATGTGTCCAGAAACAAACAGATACCACATTCACGTTCTTGACTTTTAGGCATGCCAAAAGAAATGTTCCTAAGCATCTGTGCAGCTCACAGAGAGAATATGTGCTGGAGTCGGGAGACTTGG